CTCACGCCAATCTCACGGGTTTTGTTCCTAAACACCTCAATCTCAACCTCACCCATGTCGATTTCTCCGGCAATAAGCTCAGGGGGAAGATACCTAGTTCCATTACATCGCTTGAGAATCTTCAAACCTTGAATTTGTCGTTGAATTCGCTCAATGGTGAGATACCCACTTCAATTGGGGACTTGATTTCACTTCAGAACTTGTCATTAGCTTCTAATTCGCTGTCAGGACCGATCCCGGAGTCTCTCTCTGCCGTCCCGGGGATAATTCATATTGATCTCGGTTCGAACCAGTTGAACGGGACAATTCCGAGGTTCATTTCGGAGATGAAACGCTTGAAGTACTTGAATCTGGAGAACAATCAGTTTCGTGGAGTAATTCCTTTCAATGAATCGTTTATCAAGAGGTTGGAAGTGTTCAAGATTCAGGGGAACGGCAATCTATGTTATAACCATTCGACATTATCATCCAAATTGAAGCTTGGTATTGCTCCTTGTGACAAACACGGTTTGCCGATACCCCCACCGCCGGCTAGAGACGACGATGACTATTCAGTGGCGGATGACAGTGGAAGTGATTACGAGGAGAACCATTTTAGTCACGAGGAGGATAATCATCAACACGGGCCAAACAAGGTAGTTCTTGGAGTGGCAATTGGGTTGTCATCCTTAGTTTTTATCATTGTTTTCTCGGTTCTCTTGTCCAAGTGCTGTCGTTGAGATCACACCTCTTCGGATTAGCCATCACAAGTTCAAGCTCGATTAGATCAGAAACATTATTTTGGAAAACAGACTTCTTTTAATCTATCATCTCACGTAAGTATAATGTTACAGTTGTGGGTGAGAAAATCTATCTGTTCAATGATTTAGTTTTCGGTGAAACTTCTAAAAAAATGCAATTAATAATGAGACATGTTTGTTTATCTTCAGTTGTGTACTTTGGTTCCATTACAAGCATATCCATTTTGTGTTATTAATATGCACGCACTGATTTGGTTAAATGGGCCAGTGAGTGGTTGAAGGTAAAGAAAGATTGTGTCTTAAACCATTTGGATTTGAATGACAAAATAAGAAGCTTGTTCAAATAAGGGTCCACAGAGAAGATGAATCGAAAGATGAGATAGGGGAATGGGTAGGGAATTACAAGGGGAGAAAAAGTGATAAACCCGGAGGGGCCATTTTGTTCATGGAATGGTTATTATGGGAACCCACATTGCTTCAAATAGCGCAAGAGTTGTGTGGAATGTGGATGGGACCCAAATGTTTAACGATGAACCCCATGAAATGAAGAACACCCAGGTTGTCAATCCCCAACCAAGTTTTCCATTTCTTTCTTCTTGCTTCTTCTCTTCTGTCTCCTCTTATTCTTAAAACTACACTCACAGTTTAGGCTAACACTATCTGGCATGTTACATTCATTGATTAACTTGATGATTAAAAATGTATAATAAAATCAAACTTAGATGAAAACTGAAGTAAACATGCACTTATTTTCAATAAATCAATAGCTGGAAAAATGAGAGATGAAATGAAACACATCATCCATCCCCAAAATGTATCGTGCCAAACCAAACATGCACTTATTTGGAGTCTAAATCCATCGACTACTGAACTTTTGAGATTTAACTCCTATTTTGGCCTCACGCAACCGAAGCAGATGCGGGAAGGTTTGATAACAAAAATCTTACTGGGGAAGGAGGATATTTATAAGAGAATCCTTATTGTTAGGAGATACGGAGAAAACTTTTCCCGACAGGCTTTCTTTTCTTCAGGAGAACGGAACACTTGAACCCAACCAGCTAGTTCTGGAAATTTTGCTTACATACCATGAATTTATGACAAAACAATTGGCACTGTATAAACCAAAGAAAAATTGAATATTGATTTCCAACGCGGCAAAAAGAGTTGAAACAGAGAATACAATAATATAAGAAAGGCTTGAACGCTCCATAAAAAAGAAATAGAAGTTCTGATGGACAAATCTTAAATGAGTTAACATATTGCCAAAATTTGAACATGACAGCAAAAAGATAGCAGAGAACCTTTCTAGGATATATTTTGAGATTTGTTGAGAATAACTCCTTCATACTTGACTTGGAACCACTTCATGGCATCCTCTTTAGTGACTCTATGCTGAATTCCAACAGTTGATTTGCATCTACGGCGGCGACCTACACGGTAACCTGGACGTTCAAGAACAACATAGAAGTCCATACCATAAATACCCGTAGAAGGGTCGTACCTGTAGCAAAAATTAGAAGAATGTGAGTTTAGCATTTAAAAATAAATAAAATAAAAACCCAATTACTCGGGGACTAAAAATGAGCCAATGTGCACTCCCACTCTTCAAGCCTCAAGAAATCAAAGTTGAGCATCGGTAAAGTTGACTACGGATGGATGTTCCACTTGGTTTCAGTTCAAGTTCAATATAGACGAGGCACTGAAGTATATATGGTACACGTGATTTTTCAGGTAACTTGTGATACTACCACTATAAGCAATTCTCTTTGGATTATGTTATTTCAATAGCGTTAAGTATTGTTTCCATTTAGTCTGAAAGTAACAAGAGTTAAAAGTATAAGACTTACAAGAAATCATGCAAATATTTGTACAGATAAAACAAGTCAGAAAGAGTTAAAATAGAAGTCTTTTCATCAAACCAAATGACGATTACCTCTTCAAGCTTACACATGTTGTACTTAATGTCAATGAACAGTGTGTATCTACCTAAGTTACAAACGTACAAAGCCTTGCTTATGACAGGCCTATCACTTGGATTGGGTCCATCACAATAAATTTTGTGCGCACAAAAGTTAAATAACCCGCCTTATGAATCCTGATATAGGTTAGATAATGAAGCAAATCCAGTCACAAAAGAAAGTATGATTATTAGCCAATTGACGGAACTAATTTATTACAGTAGTAAAATTAAAATTCTAGAATTTTCCCTCTAATTCTTCAATACTTTACAAAGGTTTTACAAACGCACTTACATACTGATTTATCTAAGGTCTATAAATATTAGCATAATCAACAATCAATACAGTTTGAGAAATAAATAAGCAATAACAAAATGGGAGCAAAAATTCGCTAAAAATAACACGAAGGGATTGATAACTCACTTAATTCCGAGATCAATATGCTCCTGAATTCCAAAACCAAAGCAGCCAGTGTCGCTGAAGTTCCGGCGCAACAGCTCATACTCCTTAACCTTCAAACCACTCTCAAGAAGCTGCATTGCTTTGTCGCCCCTCACGGTCACATAACACGCAATCTTTTCGTTACGTCGGATCCCAAATGATCGAACGGTGTACCGTGCTGTTTCAATCACAAAGATTCCAGAAAGGCATCCCCACGAATTTCAGATAATGAATAAATAAGATAGAAACAGTAATTTTAACAGTGATTAAAAGGTAAATGCAATTATACCCTTGGAGAAGACCGGAGATTGACCACTGAGTTGTTCGAGCACCTGAAATACAGAAAGAAAAAACAGAATCTTTGTTGAGTTTTTACGGAAATTAAACAGAAGAGAACTTGAGAGCAAGTCACAGACGGGAAGAAAACCTTAGAGGCTCTGGTAAGACGATCACCACTTTCACCAACAGAGATGTTAAGAACAAGCTTTTGGACTTTGATATCCCGCATAGGATTTGATAGCTTCTTCTCTGAAGCCTGAAATGTAATGTAGCATCAAATTAAATTAGAAACCTAAACACGCAGAAACGTATTCGATGCTTCAATGCAAACAAAAATCAAACGAAAGAGTGAGGAATACCATTTTTGCAGAGTCGAAGTTAAGAGCGGAAAACGAAGCTCGAGACGTAAAGATGCAAGGAAGGGACTGCTAGGGTTTTTAAGTTATTAATAGTCTCTCTGTGCGTTAAATTGACGAAACTGTCCCTTCATTGTAAGGTCATATTGGTAAAAAAAAAAAAAAAAGTATAAAGTTTTAACAAAATTCCGTTGCCGGGAATCGAACCCGGGTCTCTCGGGTGAGAGCCGAGTATCCTAACCAACTAGACTACAACGGATAATGCTTTGGTATTGATCCTTAAAATTACATATTCTTAAATATTAAAAAGAGTTGCATGAAATTTAATTTTGAAAAAAATTAAATATCAAAAGTTTTATGTTATTTTAAAAAATAGACCTAATACGTGTACTGGAGTTCAAATTTCACTAAAAATGATGGTTTCATTTACTCAAACATCTAATATAAAAGTTTTTGGAAATTATGTGGACTAAAAATGTATATTTAAACCTCATTTTCTAAAGGCTATACCCATTAAGGCATCATCCTCCAAACTGTATCTGACATGCGTAGCGAGGGAACCGTATCTATTAACGATGAATTTGAGTTGTTACAAATGATATCAGAATCAAGACACTGAGAGATGTGCTAGCAAGGACACTAGCCCTCAAATGGGATGGATTTCCATGTCGGTTGGAGAGAGAAACGAAACATTTCATACAATGGCGTACGTTTTAAAACCGTGAGACTGACGACGATACGTAACGGGCTGAATCGAACAATATCTACTGTTTTCATTCGGAAAATTCCATCTTTGTGGTTATATCAACCAAATTTGAGAACACGAAAAGTAACTAAAAACTTTGAAAACCTAGTAGGAGCAAAGTTATATTCATACATAAGTAGAGTCTCATAGAGGATTGTAGAATCATAACATTGGTGGTGATCATTAACGAAGACAAACAATGCAACGAAAATATGAACAACTAACGAATCTGTGATAATTATTGAAGCAACTCGGAAGGCAGAAGCTGCAGAAACGTCACTGACTAACCACAACCAAAAACACCCACAAATTCATCTGCTCTAACAAGCATTCGGGCAAAACAACAATGCTTTCTATTATTTGACACTTGCTAGAAAATGTTTATACGAAGAAACCATGGAAGAACAAAAGTTATTACCAGACATGCCATCAAGAAGTTACAGAATGGCTGTCCCCTCCACCATCCCCCACCCCTGTTTGATGTGTTTCCATAGCTATCTACTGACCTTCCCTCGTTCCATTCTTCCATAAAACTGTTGTCCACGACTCCTTCAATGTTCTTGGCGATCTCGCCACAGATTTCGCACGTTCTGTATTGATCAAAATGTCATAATAATTACGATTAGGATTAGATAATCATCAGCTCGTTCGACAGTATGAAAAGAAAATTGTAGTTTTTGGACTCTTTTCCTTATATTTCACATGCATATGTACATAAACAAACAGTTGAGTTGATCAATGTGAAACCACTCAAATACTCAATCTCCTCTGCAGCATGTTTCAACTATAACAATATTACTTCCTTTCAACTCCGGAGCGCTGTGCTCCTTAAATACGTGCTGCACCTTTGTCACTGCGCCATTCTGTCGTTTGTGTAATTGTTCATGTCACCTAGATAAAACGTTATAATGGAAGACAGAGATACATTGGCAGCATGAAACAAAATCAAAGGTAGACTGAACTTCACAGGAGACATTTACACATAACAGAAATAAATAGAAGAACGGATGCAGACGGAATGTGAGATCTCACATATTTCTTATAAGGGTGTGGAAACGTATCCCTAGTAGATGCATTTTAAAATCTGGAGGGGAAACCCTTGAAAGGAATACCCAAAGAGGACAATATCAGCTCGCGGTCGGTCGGTTTAAGTAGTTACATGAAAACTTTCCGCCTCCATGTTTGGAAAGCTGGCTTCTTTTCCTTTTTGTGTTAAGAGAGCTGCTTATTCTCCTCACTCTACAGAAATGGAACGCTTTCTATTTGTACAGGTTACTAAAATTCTAGATTCTTGAACAAATGAGGAAAGAAAAAACTAAAAAGTATTGGTTAAATGGTCGGACTAGCAGCTACAAGTTACAACAATCAAACAAAAGAGTGTTCAAAATTACAGAACATCAAGTGTCAATACGAAATCCAGTACATAAACTTGATATTAAACCAGAAGAGAAGGAAGAACCTGTTTCCTTTGAGCTTGAACCATGCCTCGGCACAGTGAGTATGAGAAATTCCCAGCTCATCTTTACAGCCACAACCAAGTTGAATCAATTCCGACGTGCTGGTCCCAGTTTTAGGCTCTGACGCTTGGTTGGAAGCCAAATGGCAGATCCTACACACCCTTTCTCCATTCCAGTCTTCAACAAACCCTCTACCCTCTATTGGCTTTACATTTACCAACGCCGGATTCTCCTTTGCTTCTGACATCTTTGACTTTAAATTCATCTTTTCCAAATCCTTCCCCGACGCCATTCCCTTGTTCTTCACAACCGATTCTCCATCTCCACCTCCAGATGCAGCCCCACCCGAATCAATAACCACTATAATTTCTAAAGGGTTCAGATTCGAACCCTCCCTTGTTTCTCTACCAGGGGCGTGTGCGTCCTTGTCGCCGCCGGTAGGCGCAGTGGTTTCTGGGATTATCACAATGGTGGACTCGATCTTATCGCTACTAACCAAATCGTTGGTGGTTTTAGGCACCCCTGTTTCTATTCGACTCGATATAACACCACCCTCTTGCCGATTCCTTTCTTCTCGATCCATTAATCGAAAGAAAAATTTCCCTAATAACTCAATACCCCATCAGAATGCATCACTTTCCATCGAACTTACTGATACGAATGAAAAATTCATTTGAAATCCGAAGTGGTTAATCAATCATGAAAAGGCAGAAAAGTAAACTAAAAACAGAACAAGAATCGTCGCATGTTCCAAGTTTTCACGGTATATGCGAGAAACGTCTTTTGCTTACAACATTTTTGATGACCAATGGAAGATATGAATGGCTTGATCCCGAGGATAAACTCCACAGAAGGAGAGCAATGTATAGCTTAAACGCCAAAATTTGATCAGGGGTCAGCGTTTACCTCATAAATTTAAAATAAGAACAAAAAGCGGAGATCTGGGTTGTCTCCAATTGGGATCCTCCAGGTGAAACCCTTCCTTTCTCTCTCTGCCAGTACTTCTCGATGCGACGAAAAAAAGGGGGAAAATCACTATTCGAAGCGGGATTGTGAAAATCAGAGTGAAGTAAACGACATGGAAATTGGATGCAATTACAATTCGTCTTTCATTATGGGAACCCAATTGAGTATGTGATGAAAGCAACTAAAATTGGAGGATGAGGCTCCTGACACCATTGGCTGACCAACTTCGTCTTCATCGCAAACAATGGGAACCGCGACAATTAGGGTTAAAAAAAATTACTCAAATCAATTCACTATTCAAACTGATTAGATATTAATTTCTTTTGTTTCTTCTTCCTATTCTTCTTCTTTTGACACACGCAATCAAATATTTCGCGACTGACAGTACGATGTTCTTGCTGATGTTTAAAGAATTGTTGCAATAAATGTAAGGAATGGCGTTTCTAATGTGTAAAGTAGCTGTTTTTTGTGGGTAAACGGAGCCATAATTCCGAAACAAAACCAGACACGCGTCATTTTTTTCCACGAAATCCAACCTGTTTTGCTTTTTTTTTTTTTCTTCCTTTCTTTCCCCACCTTCCGTGTCTAGACATATCTATTCCTTTAGGTTGAATTTGTCCTCAGACCTCACTCTACGCCTTGTCGTTGTTCTTGTTCCTCTCATCCTCCATGTCCCCAGTTGTCTTTATTAATAACAAAAAAAAAGTCCAACTTCCTTCAAAAATCTCTCCTTTTTCTTTTTTTTTTTTTAATGAAAATTTTGGGTCGACAAAGATGACCATCCACTGCAAAAGCATTTTTTTCATCTCATTGATTATGAAATCTCACTTCGGTTGAAAGATACGAACAAACATTCCTAAAAGACACGTTTTAAAACGGTGAGGATGATGGTCATATATAATAGACCAAAAGAGAATGTTGGGCTCCAAGAGGGGGATACTGTGAGGATGATGGTCATATATAATGGACCAAAAGAGAATGTTGGGCTCCAAGAGGTGGATTGTGAGATCCCTATTTGGAGAGAGTAATTAAACATTTTTTACCTGAGTATGAAAATTTGTCTCAAATAAACGTGTTTTAGGTCTCAAATAAAAGTGTTTTAGTATCTGCACGCATTTGTTTGTGAAATTATGGTTAAGCTTTCTACAGTTGTTTTTGATAGTGGAGGGTGAAAGGACAACGATTGTTATGAGAATTACAAGACAACTAGAGTTGTAGTTGGTGAAATGATGAGTTTTTAGACTTTTGTGAGCTTAACACTGAAGCAACTAAACACCAAATAAAACAAAATAGAACGTTCTTTCGCACTAATCCAACAAAACAACATAAATTACAAGCCAGAATATCATGGTTAGCCTTCTGGTTTTGTGGAACTGGTTACAGAAGAGGTAAATACTTTTTCATCTCTTTGAGATGCAAAACTGATTTGCTGTTATGTTTCTAAATGGTTTCCTAACTGCTGTCATCGAGGTCCCGACAGCTCCATGGCTTCCACAACGAATGAAGACTCTTCATGAATATCACTGTAATTCCGGGAGAAACTATGAGCTCTGTCCTCATAAAGACTTGCTGCTCCGCCTGGTGATTCTTCGATTTGGCTCAACTCTCCAACAAGACCTTCTAAAACCTTCAGAATCTCGGACATCTTTGGTCTGAGTTGTGGATGCGACTGAGTACACTGCAGAGCCAATTCTACAGCTTTGTCCAGCTCCATTGCATCAAAACACCCTCTTAGATCCCTGTCCACCATCTCATCTAGCCTCTTCTCCTCATGTAACGTTCTAACCTGCTCATTTCACCTTTTTTTGTAGCTAATGATAAGTGTTTAAATGAACCCAAAATCAAAGAACCAAAGGATAAGTAAACAACTCATCTCTACGTACCCATTCGAGAATCGTTCCCTTTCGAACCACCCGACCATTGCCAGCATCTACTGCTTTTGGCCCAGTTAAGAGTTCCAGAACCAATATGCCAAACCCAAAAACATCACTCTTTTCTGAAGATTGTCCAGTTGAAAGGTATTCGGGGGCGATATGCCCCACTGTGCCCCTAACTGCTGTAGTAACATGTGAGTCCCTTCTATCCAACATCTTTGCCAGACCAAAATCCCCAACCACGGCTTCAAAGCTTTCATCTAGAAGAATGTTTGCTGCTTTTACATCCCGGTGAATAATTTTTGGGTTACACTGCTCATGCAAGTATACAAGTCCACGTGCTGCACCATGGGCAATACGCAGTCTTCTGTTCCAATTCAACGATGGTTTCTCTTGGCATGCATCTGAGGGTAGACGGTATTTAAACATATTCAAGAGAGATTAAGAGGAAGGAGGTTTGCTATATGCAGAGATATCAAATGCATGTTTTTAAAAACAAACCTCTGAGGCGGTCAGCGACACTCCCATTTGGCATATATGGATAAACAAGCAGCCTTTCATGTGGCGTCATACAAAAACCATACAAACGCAAGAGGTTGCGGTGCACTGCTAAGCCAATCATTTCAACTTCAGTTTGAAACTGCACTTCTCCAGTATAATTTGGATCTTTCAGTCTCTTCACTGCAACATATGTCCCATTTGGAAGATACCCTTTATAAACTACACCAAAACCACCCTGTCCCACGATATTTTGGGGACTAAAATTACATGTTGCCTTTTGTAATTCACGGAATGTAAACCTTTTCAGATGGCCTATATCAAATTCATAATCTTGCTGCACTGCTGATTTGAACCATCATAATGAAGTCAAACAAAGTTCATCATTATAATCTAAATCAAAGAAATTATAGAAGGAAAAGGTAAAAGGCCAGAAAGTACCGTAGGATTTGAAGACAAGATGAGATCTATAACAATGCACCCAGCCAACAAGTAACACAACAGAAACCACAAGCGTGAAACTGACAAATAGAGCTATGGAAAGAACCAAGTGATGATGGCTATTATCTTTCTGAGGCGAACCAGTTTCTGCACCATAACAGCTCTATTCATGAGTTTTATACCATTGACATTCAAGATACAATGATTACGGACAATAAAATTTTATTACCATTAACTGGTTTTGATACTCCTCCACACACTTTAGATTCTGAAGATGCACAAAGGAATCTATTCCCTGCAACACTATGGAAAAAAGGCAAGCACTGTCAAAAGGTGGTAAATGGCTTTGGTAGAACAATGGGTAAGAAAAGAAACAGATCATTCTCATATTAATATTGTCCATTTTGGCTCGTTACCTATCGTCATCAGCCTCACGGTTCTAACTGATGTGGGATCTCACAATCCCCCCTGCGGCCAGTGTCCTCGCTGGCACATCACTCGGAGCCTGACTCTGATACAATTGGTAACAACTTAAGCCCACCGATAGCAAATATTGTCTATTTTAATTTGTTTCGTCGTCAGCCTCACGATTGTAAAATGCGTTTGTTAGGAGAGATTTCCACACCCTTATAAGGAATGTTTCATTCTACTCTCTAACCGATATGGGATCTCACATACCCAATATACATAAGACAGTTCATATTTATGGTTGTGATCTTCAAAAGTAACCGATGGCATTTGGAATTAGAGAAAGTTTCCTGAGAAATCAACTGAACAGACGGAATCTCACCTGTACTCTTTGGAAAGTATTCTTGGAGTTGGGCCACTGAGATTATTATTTGATAAATCCCTACGGAGAAAAGCATATAATCAGAAGTCACTTATGTGAATCCAGAAAACACTAGGAATTGAAACAGAATACTTACAAAAAGGTAAGACCTGAGATATTTGCAACAGATTCCGGAATTGGTCCACTTAACTTGTTACCACTAAGCTTCCTGAAAACTTGGCAACAAAGATTACATGACAACAGTAAAATCAATAGTTAGAAAGCATAAGCGAGTGGAAGAAATAAGAAAAATCTTGTACATCATCCAGTCATACTCACAAGTAATTCAAATGAGTAAGAAACCCCAAAGAACTTGGAATGCCTCCGACAATCTGGTTGTTAGAAAGGTCAAGAGTCTGAAGCTCTGTAAGTCCTCCTATGTCATCTGGGATTGGACCAGTTAACTCATTATTTTGCAACAACCTGCAATTATTTATGCCCAGTAAATTTAAACTTTCAAGGAAGCGAGTTAAAGCTTCAATGAAAAACATTCCAACATTAGGCTATCCAAGTATGAACAATCACTGAATTTTTACTTGAGAAGACAATCATTATAGATGTGTAAGAAATGATTTGAAGAAAATGAAGGGAGAGGGAGGGTCGTTGCTCACATTGTCCGAAGGTGACTCAGGTTCCCAATGCTAGGGGAAAGCGTTCCAGATAAGCCCATATTTGGCATCTCACTTGCAATAACAACAATAGTTAAAAGCATATTTCAGCTTTACCTTCGAGTAAGAAAAACAAATGTTGTACAGCCCTCTTTTGGGTCGTTTTTACCCAGGAAACTAAACATGGGGAAAATCTCATTAGGTCCGAATTGTCAAATATGAACCATTTTTGCATAGATAACCAAGAGGGCAACAAAATAGAGAAGCTTACAGAGAAACCACAAAGCCCTCGGTAGAGCAAGCAACCATAAACCAGGTGCATGGATCAACCGAATTTATGTCCCATCCTTCCATCACTCTCCGCTCGTCCCTTATCCTACTCTTCATTGACATCAAAGCCGCCACTGAACAGAGCAAAACATAAGAAACAAAGACACCAACATTCAACCAATTTTCGAATAACATGAAATAATGGGTATTCATGAAATGGTCAGACCTTCATAGTTTACTCCTTTCGGAGACAAATGACTGTCTGAAGCAGAAACCAGCCAGATGAAGGCGAACAGCAACAGAACCATCTTTAGCTTTGCAACTTCCATTGCCAAGATTGTCAACACAAAATAAGAGGGCTGGTGTAAGATGTAAGAACCCACTACTTCCCGCAGGATAAATATGTTTAATTGAGCTTTTTTGGTCTTAAAGTAAACAGTCCATATCTCATGGAAAATAATGACAACCTCGAAAAATCTTCATTCTAGAATTCCTACACGCTTGTGCGTTGAAAAACAAGCGATTTCTGGTAGAAAAAGCTAAAAGAAGAAACAAAGCAGTGGCCGACTTAGAAGAATTAAAGAAAATCAACCGAAAGACCAGGAAAACCTCGAGATGCGGGTAATTGAATGGCTGAGATTATCCCTTCCCCTGCAAAAACATTGAACAACAAAGCCTGACAGTGACTGAGGAAAGCCTTTGTGTAGTCAAGACCATAATGTCTCCATCTTCGCTGTGACCTGCAGTAGAGAGTGGCAATCATGAGCCGTCAGATTTTTGACATTTACGGACAGAAAAAATCAACAGCCTTGATTATATTTAGTTTAGATATGTAATCATGATTACTGGAAGTGGGGGAGTTGATGAAATAATAGATTTTTAGAGCTCCATGTCTCACTGCAACCCAGTGGTGCCAACATTAATGATTCCGGCTTTTGAAATGTGGCGCAACTCACGGAGATAATGGCCAATTTATTTTCTATTTTTCT